TAGCAACTCTTTCTTAACTCGATCAAGGTGACTTGTGCAGAACCTGCCGTCGGTTCCTCCCTAACAGAGTTAGGGTCCTGTCGCGAGACAGGTGTACCCCACTGCGGCGCATGGGATCGCTAACGACTGGGTCACCGACCTGTCCACTCTCTCCTTTGAGAGTGGGCTCAATGTTCAGTCTGGCCACAGTAAGGGTCTTCTGCGGAAGATTCGAGCTGTGCCCTGTAGGGACCGGGGTCACTGAAAAGGTGACTAAGACTTACCACTCCTTTTTTGGTTTGTCTTCCCTGTTATTGGTAACAATGACGGGGTCCATCACGTGTGGGTTGCCTTGGTTGGGTGTGGTGAACATCTTGGGTGAAATGAATGGGTCCGTCTCCACGTCCACTTGGGTAGTACGGGTTACTCTGTACTTCCTTGGTGGAAATGAATGGGTTCGGTCCCACGTCACTCGGTGTGTGGATCCACTCCTTCCTTTGCTTCTCTTGGCACGTGGTGTGGAAAGGGGAGCGCCCCTGGCTGCGCCAGGTGTGTCTCTGGCCACTGGTAGAGGTCATCTGAGGAGCCTGAGGGTGCTGAGAACATGGTGTATGACTGGAATCCTGAGTTGGGCAGGATGCAGAACTATCGGCTGCTCAACGACTCTGACGACGCCTATAGCGGTGAAGAGTATTTCCTGGCAACACCTAGAGGAAGCTACAGAAGGAGATACAGGAGGACCAACTCAGAAAGAGAGGAAGATGAAGAGCAGATGGAAGTGGATGAGACAGGTCCAAACGATGCAGAAGGTGAAGGAGAAGTTGACCGAAGCAGACCACCAGTGAATGCGGACTGGTGGGACTTCGAAACTTTGTTTCGATACCAGAAAGATGCAGCCCGAGAGAGACGTGCTCGAAAGCTGAAGAAGGCAGGACTTTTCACTCCGCAGCTACTCAAAGAGTTTTTGCGTACTAGGTTGGCTGCTAAGCACTCGGCTTTGTTTCCCCACATGGCCTTCGATCACATCCTTTCATGGAATCGTGAAGAGCGCACCCAGTTTGCACAGTTTGCAGTGATCGTGATAAGTGGCCAGTGGGAAGAAAACTGGGACGACCGAGTTGCTCGATTTTTTGAGACCGGCGAGGTCTAGTTTGGTGAAGGCAAGGCTTTCAGCCGCCTTCAGGCGGAGTGTCAAACTTTTATGGCACATCCATGTTCAGGTTGATCACCGGCCGACAGTGGCCCAAGCTCACGCGAGGCAAAACGGTCGCGTGCCCTGCTGAGCTTTTCACATTGCATGCTGCAGACCTTGCTTTTTATCACTACCACCTGACCTTTACCGATTTCACTTCTGTCGACGGCCCTTCTCACTTGCATTTTCTACCACAGAGAGTTAGTTGCCGCACCTTCTTCCTACCATCCCTTGTTGCTCTTGGGCGGTCTAGCGGGACGCGCTGCGATGGTTGTGTTCCAGGGATCTGACGAGCAAAGCCATCGCTTCAGAGACCTTGGACATCGTTCAACTACTAGGAACAAAGGGCATCGCCAATAGGAGCAAGGACGCTACTAGGGGCGGTCCTGGCCTTACTACTAGTTACAAGAAGCTACTTGGAACAAAGGGCATTATTTTTAGTCGCATTCTCACTACTAGCAACAAGAAGCTTACTACAAGTTTTACTACTAGTTTCATGGCGGAGATAGCGAAGGATGCTCTGCACTTGTTGAAGCACCTGAAATTGTTTGGCACATTTGGCTCAAACTGTATTGATTACAAGGTTGCTGCTCGGCCTTTCAATGGGTTTGGATCTGATTCCCATCACAGTGGCAGCTACAGTGACATGTGTCTTCAAAAGCACAAGTGTCGTGTAGAACCGTGTTTTATGGCAGGTTATGGTGCTTGTCGTTGTTACCCTGAAACTTTGCTTGAAACCATTTCGTTGCTTGGTATTGAGGCGGGCCAGGGCCATGGCTCCTGATTCTCGTGCTTGCCTTGAGTTAGTGGCTAGTGTTGATTTGCTGTGAACCCATACTTCAGCATTTTGATTGCATTCTCTTTTCTCACTGCAGTTGAACCAGATTTGGGCACATGATTTGTTTCTTGTGCGAGTCACTTTCAACGCCAGACAATTCAGACAATTGAGGATTCCTGTGCCTTCTTCTCATATTGCAGGCTCAACTTCATCCCAAACTAGCGTGGTTGAAATCTGGCAAAAATTTGAAGATCCGGGGTTTTGTGCTGATCTGCTCCTGGTATGCCAGGTGAAAGCGAGTCCTCCATGTGCCAAAGAGGGTGTGATCTACAAAGACCCAGAGGCTCAGTGATGTGGGTTCCTTGTGGAACAAGTTGAGGGGACGAAAGGTTTGAACACCATGTGCGCCAGCAGAAGAGCAACCTGATAATTGAAGGTGGCCATATCTTCAGGGATGAACTGTGCGGTCCAGTGATCATTCAGTGAGGGTTGGATGTTTCTGCCGAGAATTTGAAGAGGTTAGTTACGGTTAGTTCCTGTGTATGCTTAATAATGCTTATTATGTTGTTGGATTTGGAACATCTGGTTTTGCCGGCTTCTCTTTGACAGGTCTCCGATGTGGGCCCCAATGGTGCATGGGTTTTGGATGCCGACCAGTGCCAGAATTCCTGCGAAACCAGACCGTGTGCACCCCATTTGGAGTCTTCAAATGAAGGAGAGTAGAACCTGGAGGAGCATGGGTTCAGCCTACTGAATACACCGGATATGCATGCATCCAGCCTACTGAATTGTGCCAAGGTCCTGTTCCTATTTCTCCTTTGTCCCCAGCAATTTGTGTGGCTGCCTGGTACGAGATTTGCTGGAGAGATATTGCAGCACGCAAACTGCTGTCCTGTTTCTGCACCAAGAGCTCTGAGGCCAGGAGCAGGTGAGTGCTGGCTTTTAGGCAAGAATGCCAAAGCAGAAGAGAGAAAAGGAGTCATAAGTGGTCCGCAGGTGGGGCTGCACATTTTCCTGTGCTTGCTTTTCCGATCAACCAATCAGAATCGTTTACTTAACAGGAGACCAAATCCGTCAAACGCAAAGCTTGCAAAAATGCCATAAGCTACTCAAACTAGAAACCCATGACATACGTTGAACATGTTGCCAGAATGCAAGCCTTGTGCCAGGTTTGTGCTGAGGCTGGAACTTGCGCAAGTGTTTTGTGGACGAAACCAGCACCAAATTCTAGTAGGTGGAAGAGATGGGCAGTGCGAGAAGCTGCCTAGATGTTTTCACAGTCACTGATGAATTACAGCCTGGAGAGATCCATTTCAAGCAATTTGATTTTCAGAGACCCCAGTTGCTTTCCACACAGACACATTTTTTTTGTTGCACAGGATCGAGTCAGCTCGATCAACGCATGCGGCATGCTTGAACACCAATGCTGCCAGGCTAAATTTGTTGAGTAGGAAACCTTGTGGGGTCATGCTTTGTGTGTTTTTTTCTGTTCGATTGCTTGTTTTCCAAGGCCCATCCCACTGGAGTGCCGAAGGTGCCGGAGGCTTTCTCTGCCACTTGGAGTCAGAGTTTACGTCCTCGGACGGGTGCAATCGTGATGGGCCCCGCAGCGATCTGAGGTATTTCAGGCCAATCCGTAGGCGCGTGCCGCCAAGCAGTACACGGACCTTTCCCGGCCTCAGACTGCCAGGCCGCTCTTGAGCCATTCATCCAGCCGGGCCTACATGACAAACTCCCCCCACTTCACTTCCTTCGAATGGGCTGGACATATTTTGTTGTACTTGCAAGATGATGTTTATTGTTCTCCAACATGTTATATTTTGTTTCAAACGCCTATATAAGCACGGAGAATGAAGCATGTTGCTGTCATTCAATATGTTTGATGAGAATTCTGATTGGCCAGGCACAATGTAGCAACCTGGCAGCAGAATGTAATGGTTCCTCCCGTGTTCTTTTGCAGGCAAAGTGCAAAAGAGTCTTAGGCTGTAGCTTGCTACATTAGTGCTGGTTTGCGTAGTTATTTGGCTTCGGACTTTGCCAGCCCTTGCTGGTTTCTTGTTTTGCTTCAGGCATTGGCAGTGTCGACCCAAAGGATTTGCAGGCGACAATGTCAAACTTGCATTTTCGGGCTATGGCTTCTACGCTGCTATTAGTGAGAAAGGCATCAGATCAATCTGGCAAAATACAAACATTCTTTCCTTCCATCAGACTGAGAAGCCCTTTGTGAGAGGAAGCCGCGAAAGAAGAGGAAGCTGCAGCCAAGGCATCCAAGCAAGGAATAGCCTTTTTGGGTGGAGGTTGGGGTAAACTCTTTATTGAACCACCTTCCTATGTAGGCAGGAACTGCTGCGGCATCCGAGGTCTGGATGAGAAACCTTCACATGTACTTGCATAGGAAAGCTGGCAAAATGGGCCTGAACATTTTGCATGCACAGGCACAGGCCCAAGATGACAAGGGAGAAGATGGCAAGGAGCCTTGTGACTGCTTCACAACGGGGCATGGATTGCATGCTTTAGAGTCAAGGCGCAACCATCAAGCGAGTCACACTTGTTGCAGAATCTGAACACGAGCGAGGATGCAGAACACTCCAAAGAACAGTCTGGCTACTATTACGGAACGGCAGACTATGGTGGCTATGGAGATCATCAGGCGCATTGTACGAGAAAGCAAGAACGAAAGCGTAAAGAATCAGATGTGCTGTTGGGGGCGGCGAAGCAAACACTTGTGGGTCATCACGCTTTTCCTTCACCCTCAAAATCATGTGAACTAGCTGATGTGAATGGTGCAGTTGTGAGACCAAAAGAGGAGTGTGATTTTGAAGGCTGAGATGGACGAGTGTGGAGACAGTGGCGCACACTGCACCTTGGCATGTAATTGTAATATGATTTGTTTTCTGCGGGTACTAACTGCTGGCTGACTTTTTCTGAAAGGACCACATGGACAAAATGCCAGGGATGCAATCTTGATCTGTCAGCACAACGAGCATCACTCAAATTGTTTTGAAGCCAGTACTTCGATTGCTCAGTGTGCAACACGATCCTGACCACACACCATGCGGTCCAAGACAAACGCCCAGCAAAAACAATTTGCTAAACTGCGCAGAAGAAAGGCAAATTCAGAGAGGTTGATGTAGTTAATGCAAATCCGTTGAGAAGCATTGTGAAGTTCACAGAAAACACATGAGGCTTGGAGAAGGATCAGACATGATTTCACAACTGGAGAACAATTTTGGTGCTTCGTTGGCTTGGGTTTTTGAATTTCTATCCAGATTCTAGCAGACTACTGTACTGGCCTGGAAAGGACACCAGCCGCATGGGAAAGTATGAGGTGGTGAAACAAGGGAAACGCAAAAAAAAGTGGAAACTGCAATTTTTTGTCGGGATAAATATCAAAAAGTCTTGCTGGTTCTTGTTTGGGTGGCGCTTGGTTTGGTCCATGCCACGCTCTTTGCATCGGTCCATTGCGCGACACAAGCGGTCAATCGCCACAAGAGCACGGCCAAGCAAGCCCACTCCCGGAACAAACCGGAACAAACCATCCAAAAGGTCGTGAACCTTGTCAAAGTCCAGTGCTATTGAGAGACCTTTGAATCTCCCACGCAAGAGAGACCCTGCTATATGTGCCCTCACAAGAGTCACACCAAGTCCAATCTGTGCCCGAAGGTCCGATAGTCTTTAAGTCCACCAAGAAGGTTCCGAAAACAGATCTCAAACCGGAAAATCAACAATCTAAGTGTGGCAAACCTTTTTCAATCTCAAGTGGCTAAAGTTGCTTCTGAATCCTCCATAGACACTGCCTGCAACAATATACATTGAACCTGCCCAAGGGTCTCAAACCTAGTTAAAGATGTTGTGTGCCCCTAGCTTTGCTTCTTCAGTCCCATAGAAAAACTGCTTTTAACTGACCCTCGCAAGACTCTCAGACAAGACAAGCAAGAGACATGCCCAGAGAGCCAATAGCAAACATATTTGCCGTGCCCAAACGTTTTAACAGGGCCTGTGCAACACAAGTCCTCTCCGGGCGTGCTTCCCCCTGCTTCTGTTGTACCTTCATGAATGAATTGTGCTCAGATGCCAGTTGAGGTCCTTCGCACTGGCTCGAGGATGCAAGTGGAGGCTACCTTTGTATCTTGCCTTTGTTTGCTCCATTGCAAGATGCAAATGATCTCACTTCGGTCACACGATCATTCGCCGGTTGGAACTGATTTCGATATGATCGTATGATCGTATGATGGAACAGTTGGAGGTCTTGTGTTTTTGAAGTCCAGCGGAAGATTTTGGAGTTGAAGCATGTTTGGGTGCCACAGTCCCCTTCTGGCCACAGTCTCTCGGTCTCTCTCCGAGGTAAGTCAGGCCACGCTCGAGGCGTGTGCCGCGAAGCTCACAGGGGACCATTCCCATCGCATGCTTGTGAGGCACGCTGTTGGTCACTGCAGTCGGTCGCCATGTCAGTTTTCACACGTAATGTTTTTGCAGTAGGGAAGTGCATGTGAGTTCTGTCATCTCCCCAAGACCAAACCTAGGATCCTTATTCTTCCGCCCAGCATGCTTTATGGGGGTAAGGCTTCCTTGAATCACCTCACTCTTTTTGTGCTCACTTTCACCTTGGATGACTCACCCTTCAGCCATGGCTCTGCTCGATTCATTTCTTACTCCTTACACATATTTGATGCCTGATGAAACTGAGCTTCTGTGCAGGAGCAGTGCAGCCACTTGGCAGAATGCAGTGGTTGAGACTTGTGTCACGGGCTCTACCGTGCCCAAAGCCTGCCAAGTTCCAACCCCCATAAGCCAGCAAGCCAGCTTTTCGCTGAGTGAGGTGGGTTTGTTGCAGATTGCAGTAGATGAAACGCATGCGAAAACTCCACCGGGTAGACGGACACCAGGCATTGGTGCTGTCCAGGGCTTGGAGGCGACTCAGCTCCAAACTTTAAGCTGCCTGTTTTGGCAAGATGCAAAATCTTTGAACTTGTTTTGCGGCCATTGATGGAACTTGCAAGTTATGAGCGATTCGATTGCTGAACGTTGTTTCAGTGCCGACCTTCTGTTTACCTTGCACAGTTTGGGGTGTATCACAGCCACGGAATTACGCCTGTAAGATAGAAGCAGCGGCTGTCCTTTGACGCATTTTGTTGTGATTGTGAGGTGGATTCATCAAATGCTGAAGTCCTAACCACGTGGCTGGTGGACCGCAAGCAACCTGATGCCAGCTGGGAACCACGGACCTTGACTTTGCCCAAGAAACCTCTGTCCGAACAAGAAGAGCTGCTTCGGATACAGAGGATTTGGAAGGACAAGATTCCAGCGGCAGAGATCTTCAAAATCCATGTGGTGGAACCCTTGATCAAAGATTATCCAGGCAGACCATCTCTCCATGTCCTGGTGGAAAGCAATCCACTTGAAAGCTCAGACCGTGCTCCTGTCCTCATGGAGGTGAAGGGCCCCAGTGATGTTGGACATTGGCGTGCGGGTTTCGTTCAGACCCCTGCGACTTTGGACACCATGAAGGCTGACACTGGACACTTGCCAGATGGTGCTCTGGTCACCGTGTATGACCAGCAGCTGGAGGATGGCACCTCCAAAACAGTCATGCCCGGTGACCTCATCACGATTGTAGAACCACCCAACGCGAAAGATGCTTTCTCCAGTAGCTGGACGACGGGTCACGAGAAAGAAGGCCAGGGGAAGAAAAAGAAACGCAGCTCAAGCGAGCAGTTGTGTTGGTAGATGTGAGGTGTTTGCAACCTTTTCTACACTTGCAACCTTTTGTTTAGTCGATACACTGAGACGATGACGATACACTGGACAGAGACGACCGACCTCATCGTGCAGGTGACATCTCAGAGCGTTTTACCGAGAAGATGATGGAATGGGGTCATAAGCTGACCGTGCTCGAGAAAAAGATCCTGAAGGTGATCACAGATTCAGCTCCTCCGAAACAGCAGAGCAATCAGGCCGGAAAAGACTGGGAGGGGGGGACTTCTTTTTGGAGAAGATATGACAAGACCGTCCATGATCAGACTGTTAAGTTCAAGAAGAGCGCCCAATGAATCATACTTTTATGATTTGTCTTGGAACTGTCTGTTGCTTTGTACTGCTGAGATTGCTTGGGCAGATCGATCTTTCCAATCATTGTTGGAACGAATCTTGATGATTGGCTGAGGATGGGGAAGATTCAGGCTTCAAGAAGGTCTTGCCATGCGTCTCTGATAGTGCTCACCAGTGCTGGGACTTCAGATTTCGTCAATCTCGAGTCATCCTAGTCCACATTTTTGAGCTTTGGACCATCGTTTGAAGAGACTGTTGGAATTCTTTAGTTCAACAATTCCCTTTTGCAGAGACCCTACTCTCTTTACAATTTTTGGACATGCTGAAAACATATGTACTGTAGTAGATTTTGTTGACATCCGTTTATTGATAGTTTTCCACAGCTGTACTTCCTAAGACTCAGCCATACTATGCTGCTGTAATCATTTCTTAAGCTGGGCCACCGCAGCTGATTTGTTGGGACATTCACGGTAGAGCTTCTATGGTCCGCGGACCTCCAAGCAAGTGAAAGGCATGCGCTGCCAATGCCCTGCAACTTTTGTCCTATGCCACGCCCACATCCTTTCGTCCACTTCTTTTTTCTCTGCTCCCCCTTCATAGAGTACAGAATGCATTGTTAAGAGCAAGATCTCTAAACTACACAGGGATTCACGTAGAGTCTTCACGTGCACTAACTGACCAGCTGGTGTGATAGGGATCAACGGCGGTTCCACAGGTTCAAATTGTCCCAAATGGTACCTAATTACCTAATTGGCTTTGTGGCTCTTGGCCAACTTGTGGAGAGTGATGAACTTCCGCATTCTTTCCTAAGCAAGACCACCTGATGAATCTGCAAAAACAATTGAACACAAAAGGACCAAGAGTGCACTGTGGAAAGTGCAGGGTGGATCATGAATTCCCACGATTTGTAATGTCTATATAAGCATGGGCAGAAAGAGAGTCAGATGGATATTTACATATATATATAATATAGAGAGAGAGATGGATAGAGAGAGAGAGAGAGATGTAGTACTTATACTCTGTGTTAAACATGGAACTTGTCTTTCAGGTCCTCAAGACTGGGCCAGTGGAGCGAGCGGTGGCTACTTCTGCCGCTTGGCTCGTCGGAGCCGAGAGACCGAGAGACCGAGAGAGTGGGGACTGGGGCGGTTTTGGGCACCGGAGGCCACTCCAATAGCGGTTGCCGGGCAGCGGACCATGGACCTTTTCCGTCCGAAGATTGCGAGGAGCGAACTGGAAAAACGCTGAAATGGAATGAAGACCCTTTTTGGTTCCATCTAAGCAGGAACTTGGCAAAACTGCTTTGAACGTGTCTAGAATCTAGCATCTGGCTCACAGGCGCAATGCTCTATTGGCCAAGTCTTTGTGGCAGGCACCCTGCACTTCACATTGCTGAAGCTTGAAACGCATCAGATTTCTGCTTGATGAATTACTCCTGGTTCCTGTTCCTTGAGCTATATATTTTGGGCCAGGCGGTGGCGATGTGGCAGTTCTTCGGCAGAAACCTTCTTCCACGTTTCACTTGTGTTGACGCCCTGGGGTGATTGGTCTCGAACCGTGAGCTTTGATCACCTCTCGCGTTCCTGTGCCATCCAACACTGGACACACGTGCAAAACCTCAAACCAAGATCAGCACAAAGAACTAACCCCATCTCGGTGGTGAACTGCTTCGCAAAACCCAAAATACGAAAAGAACAACTCCCAGAAACCTGACCACCTCTTTCTCCCTCAAGGATTCAAGTGGTCCACCAACTCCACGTTCACAAACCCATTGAAAGTGGTGTGAGTCGGTTCTTCGAGATGTTCTAACAGTGAAAGCGCGGCAACTGGAGTCCTGCAACGCGTTGTAGAAGGCTGACCAACCATCGCAAAAACAGCTTTCCTTGGTGCAATCATCAACATTGGGTCAACTTCTAAGGCTCCCAGCATCAGCTCTAGCAATGCAGTCGTGCTGTTTTTAGGTTCAAGACTCACACGTGCCCGGTCAAGGTGCCTTTCAATTGTTTGTTGAACCTGAACCTTTGGAAGACTCATTGGAGTGCAGCGAAGAAAAGCTGGTGCTGTGAGAACTCCGTAGAGGGCCAGGTGGCTTGTGCCAAGGAGCGCGTGGGTTCTCGCAGTTCAAATGCGAGGCTTCTAGCAGCGAGGCGTCCTTGAACAAGCCTTGTTTTCTTGCCTCCGTTTCATGAACCCTGTAGCACCAGCTACAGCAACTCAAAAGGAAAAAACAAGTTGAGTTGATATAGTGGCGATTTCAATTCTCCACCGTGTCATGCTTTGTTTTCATCGAATTGAAGCTGTTTCAGTCTTCTTGGGGTCTCACGGGGTTTCAGGAGGAGTCTCATTCCGGAATTCTTCGACGATGTCCTGCAGATCTGAAGACTTCATGTTGCTTGGACTTGAGAGTTTCATCACTTTTTCCTTGAAATCGACTTGGGAGTCTAGTTGAAATTCCTGATGTTATTCTGTAGAACTCTTGTCGCTCTTGCCAAGCAAAGACAAAAAAAGCGGTCCTCCAGTTGGAACGTTGATTATTTCTTCAGTGATTTTCTTTCGCAAAGCCGCAGAGCCGCAGAGCCGCCGCAGAGCCACAGAGCCGCCAATTCGCTGAGGCCCAGAAGATTGGACCCAGCCGCGGTCTGGCGGAGGTGGTTTCTATTGTGGCGGCCCCAGCAACAAGGCCCTTAGGCTTGGACTTGGTAAACACTTGGTAGAAACTCTCGGAGTCCTTACATGGTCGGACAGGCCTTGGCTTTGCCTTGGCATCCGAATTTAGGATCGAAGTGTGTTGTAGGTCGAGAAGCCATGCTTGATTCGAAAGATCCCATGACCCTAGTAACAAGGACGCTACTATTAACAAGTGCCACGCTAGTAGTAACAAGTGCCTTACTAGTAGTAACAAGAAGCTACTATTAACA